GGGGAGGTAACATTGGGCTCTATCAGCGGTTCTCAACCTTCCTAAGGAGTCAGGGAAAGTCCACCCTGAACACTGCTCTGGGCAGAGGAGGAAAGTGAATCTCCCGAAAAAGAACAAAGGAAGCAAGCGAGCTGGCTGAGCCAGGCAAGGGGAGCGGGCCAGTAAGCGGCGCTCCTCCACGCCTTCTCCTTCAGGTCTTGCTTCCGGGTTCCCACACTGAGTTCCTGCCTCAACTTCCCTCGGCGATGGACTGTGATAAGCCAAATAAACCCTTTGCTCTCCAACTACCTTTTGGTCATGGCGTTTAATCACAGCCATAGGAAGCTAACTAGGATCCAGGAGGAATACAAGTTGGCTTGGAAGCCAGCTTGGGTCAGAGACCCTTTCTCTAAAAAAAAAGAAGGAAAGAAGGAAAATAGCCCCGTGAGCTACTTTCCACTGCTGTGAGGACCCAGGGGAGCCTGGCCTCTCCCCCAAGGCCACCCATAACAGGCTCTTTTGACTTGAGCTCCAATTCCAAACGGAATTTTTACATCTAGGAGCGCCAAGTTTTTTTTCTGCCACAGAATGGGGCAGAGCCAACACAGTGCCACGTGTGGAGGGCTGGAGTTCGGCCAAGCTCTTTCACAAGGTCTCAACTGCTGAGCCCAGCCTGGAAAGCAGGAGCCAAGTGTACTCTGGACAGGGCAGGCACAGGGCAGCCAGTTTCTACCCACGGATTGGCCTGTTGGGGTCCAGGCTAAGAATCGGGAACACATGCTTAACCCTTGGCAGCCCATGTTTTCTGCGTCTGTCTTCAGGATTTTTGCTTTTCCCCGTGACACATTTTCTAAAAGACAGATTGCAGGATAAAACAAAGGCGTCACTCTCATGCAGACATAAAAATGATAGCCCGCCTCATGACCAGTGAGACTAAGTCTGAAAAATCACAGGATCTGGGTGGGAACAAACCACGGGACTCGAGGCTTCTAGGCTCAAGAGTAGCACAAAGCACTTCTCAGTTGTATTACTAAAGCAAACAGAGCATGAGGTGACATTTACAGTTAGCTTAAGCAAATGTAAGAACAGCGAGGGAATGTACCTGGTGTTAGACCTTAGCACCATGTGAAAACAGCCAAGAGTGAGTATCCCCCCAAGGCCTTTGCCTTTCCCCACGTGGACATGCCAGGGCATTCCTTCACGTCCTTGCTTTCGGGTGCATTCATGTATGATAGTTTATGCAGTTCTTTCTAGAAGGCCACCTTATGAGAAGAGCATTCTGTACTCTGTCCCATCCATAGGTCACAGTAAGTTCACACCTGGGGTGACTGGAGAGAAAGGGGGAGATGCTCTAACTGGCTGGAGCCCATTTCCCCAGGAAGATGGGATGAAGTTCACATGGATACAAGCTTTCTCCCCAAGGAAAGGAGGAAGGAGATTGATTGTGTAACAGGCATGATGTAATTTAGAAATCTATCAGTCTACCAGTTAGTTACCCGTGACCTACAAAGAATTGCAAAATGACTCAGATACACGGAACAGGGCTGGACTCCAAGAGCCAGAGAGTGGGCCAAAGAGGACGGACACTTTGCACTGAAGCATGGTTTCTTCTGCACATTACCAGGTCCTTCACAGGAGTGAAGGCAGGGTCCTGTCCCTCCTGTGTAGAGTAGGCTCATTAACTGTGTCTTTGAGGACATACCCTCAGACCAAGCCTGTGGTCTCCACTGGCAGAGCCTCCAGAACTCAGGGACCTCTTGGTGCCACCAGGAAATAGTGGGACATTCCCCTATGGAGGGCATCCTGATGATTGTGTCTCTGGCCAGAGCCACAGTGGCTAGCAGCAGAAAGTGCTGGATTCTCCAAACACATTCGTGGAAGACACTGCAAATGTATAAAGTTCTTGTAGTAGGACATTTATTGCCTCCCACAGGCAAATTCCTCTGTAAATTGTAAGTCGAAAGACAAGGTGGGCTGGGTGGATCACTTAGCTGGTGGAGTGCTTGTCTGGCAGGCATGAAGCCCTGGATCCAATCACCACATCTCCCCAAATACAGCATGGTGGCACAGATCTGTAATCTGAGCACTGTGGAGATGGAGGGTGAGAAGTTCAAGGTTGCCCTTGGCTACATACGGAACATGAGGCCAACCTTGGCTAGTGACCCTGTCTTTAAAAATAAAAACAAGCAAGTTGTGGTTTCAAATGCCAGTAGGATTTGCTGAAGGAGGCAGAAACAGGGGTTTGAGGCCAGCCTGGGCTACAGATTTGTCTGGGCAGTTGTGGCACATACCTTTAATCCCAGCACTCTGGAGGTGGGGACAGGCAGATCTCTGTGAGTCCAAGACCATCCTGGTCTACAGATTGAGTTCCAGGACAGTATGGGCTACACAGAGAAACCCTGTCTTGAAAAACAAGACAGATAGATAGGTAGATAGATAGATAGATAGATAGATAGATAGATAGATAGATAGATAGATAGACAGATAGACATAAAAACTCCAAGAGGGTTCCTGTTGTAGGTGTGATGTACAAATTTCAAAGGCACCTTCACCCCCTCCAAGGGCTCCCTCATCTCCTCCAACAGCTCCTTCATCCCCTTCCAAGGACTCCTATATCTCCTCCAAGGGCTCCTTCATCCCTTCCAAGGACTCCTATATCTCCTCCAAGGGCTCCTTCATCCCTTCCAAGGACTCCTATGTCTCCTCCAAGGGCTTCCCATGTCTCCTTTCTCACAGGCACCTCTCTGGGGCTTTCCTTCACTGGACATAAGTCTGCGCTTTCTGACTTCTCTGAGTCAACTAAGACATCTGTCTCCTCTGTCATGACAAACACAACACCTTTATACCTGCCTGGAGAAACCTGTGGTGATACATTGTGTCCCCCAATATTGTGCACCCTAATAAAGCTTATCTGAGAAAAAAGCCAGCCACTGTATTAAACACAGAAGTCAGGCAGTAGCAGCACATGTCTTTAATCCTAGCATTTGGGAGGCAGAGATCTATCTGGATCTCTGTGAGTTCAAGGCCACACTGGGGACCAGAGCCAGGCATGGTGATACACAACTTTAATCCCAGCACTAACCATAGAGGCCTGGAGGTCTGTACTGACAGACAAGAAGTGATGTAGCTGGGTGGAGAGAGCAAGTGAGATTGTAGAACAGAAAGGCCTATAGGCGTGGGTATACAGGAAGTAAGTCTCTTTGGAGACTGAGGCATCAGTAAGGTGAGGTTGGCTGTGGCTTGTCCTATTCCTCTGATCTCTCAGTTTTAACCCCAATATCTGGCTCCAGGTTTATTATTATTATTATTATTATTATTAAGACCGTTTAGCAATTTCTGTTACAGAAACCTTTTGTGGAAAACAGTCTTTTAGTAGCAGAACTCAGTATTAACACCCCCCCCCCCCAGAAGTCAGACAGGTCAGGAAAGCATGTGGGAATGTAGTTTTCCTGGTTTCATGCTTTCAGGATTTGTGTAGCTCAGAAGTCAGATCACACAATGAAGCTGCCCAAAAGGAATGGGGAAATAAGTTCAGCAAGCTCAAGGCGCAAACAGGATTGCAACAGGAAAGTCTGCAGCTAGGAATCATGGACAGGGCTCAGGGTGCAAGGATGCATTTCATTCTGCAGAAAGCTGGCATTCAACAGGGAGGGACTGGCCGTTTGCCAGGTTAAATGTTGCAGAAGCTTCACTGCTCCTGATTTTGAGTCCTGCCCTGGGAAAGGCAGAGCCAGCTCTTAGCCTTGGGTGATTCTGCCTCCCCTCCACGTACTGAGTTTTCTTGACCATGCTTGCCACGTGCATATCTCTTGTTTGGATAGCGTTAGAAAGAAAGCTAAAGAGGCACATAGCAACCTCTTTAAACGCGCCAATCACAACCCTGCCTTTGGCCTGCTCTCTGGCCGTTGGAGGCCCAGCAGGCTGTCCCGGGTGTGCACAGGGCTCCTTTCTAACTATCTTGTTTTAAACGGGCTCTGAAAACAACAGGTGGCCTTTTCTGTCAGCAAGTGGATATAAACTGCATCGGCCAGTCTCTGCAGAGCCTGGGCCAGACCTCGTAGCCATGGACTGTAAAACCACACTGACTCTCTCGGGAAGGCTGACCTGCCATCTAGGATGTCATATTCTTATATGACAGCACCTCTTCCCAGCACAGAAGACCTGCCAGACATGGGTACTGATTTTGATGCAAATATGCTCAGTTTGTCCATGGTTCCATATTCACAAAAAAAAATCATACAATTAAAATGCCCAGCCTAAAAATAGTATTTAAGGGCAAGGGTTCCTTGGGACCACGAGTTGGTCTACAAGCTCTCAGCTGTTTTAAAAGCTAACCTCTGAACACCTACAAGAAAATATACTCCGAAGCAAAGGGTGGCTGGCTAGGTCTGGATCAGGGTGTGGTCCTTGCCTTTTTGTTTTGCAAGGACGGTATAAACTGTCATGAAAGTTCATTTGGGAAGACGGACTTGGAAGTGCCTCACCTCTACATCAGCAAAAGCCCTTTGCTTCACTGCAAACCCATGCACAGGTTCAGCAGGCTTGACCGTCCCCAGCGACCTGCACCTACCTTGTCCGGTGGAGGGGTGAAGAGGGCAAGGCAGGCAGGCAAGCCGCGGGAGCAGACGCCCTGGAGCTTACTGCCAGTGGAGAGCCAGCCGTGCAGAGGGAGGGAGGAGCCTGGTCCAGCACGGGAAGTGGACGCGCTGGCTGACGGTGACGGCGGTGGCCGGGTGACCTGTATTCCCTGGAAAAGCCTGAGCCAGGGAGCAGGGGAGGAGGAGGAGGAGGAGGAGGAGGAGGAGGAGGAGGAGACCTGAAATCAGGGGGTCTGCAGGGATCGCGAAGGGGCTCTCTCTGGGATGGAGGCAAGAGGGCAGGGTGGGAAGAGAGTGATAGGAGGGAAGCAGAGGCCTGAGGAGGCAGCGGGGGAGCCTGGGACACTGCCCGGTGCCTATCTGCTGGGACCTGTACTTCTCTGTTGTCAATCACAATCAGGCTATTTCAAGGAACGAGCTAGTGCATTTCTGTACTTATCCCCCACGCCCATGTTCACCTCATGCAACCCGAGTTCGTTGTCCACAGAGGAAGGAAAGTGAAAGAAAACTTTGAGGAAAGAAGATGGAGTGGGTAGAGGCTTCCCGCTGCCCTAACCTTCCCCAACACCCCCAGGCAAGGGCGATGAAACGGGGTTGAACGTCCTGTACTGTCACGAAGATGTAGAAGATAGATACAGGGGCTGGTTCATGGCCTTCCTCCGGGTAGCTCTTGTCTTCACGACAATCCAGACAATACTCCAGAACGACCCCGGGGAGCAGGTGTGTCTCTGCTAAGAGAGGTGGACGGCATCAGAGGCCTGTGAGCTCCATTCGACACCTCATGTGGACAGGACTGCTCCTCTGTTATGGAACCGTCAAAAGAGGTACAACGGAGGGGGGGGTGCCCTTCTTCAGTTTCCGGGGGCGGGGCGGGGGGGGGGTTAACCTGGGTTTTTTTGTTTTGTTTTGTTTATTTATTTTTAATTTTCTGTGTGGGTATTTTGCCAGCATGTGTGTCTGCATGCCTGGTGCCCCTAGAGACCAGAAGAGCGCAGTGGACCCCTGGGATTGGAATAACAGACAGTCGTGAGGCCCTGTGTGAGTGAGTGCTCAGAACCAAGCCTGGGTCCTCTGGAAGAACTTTGACTGCTCCTGACTGCGGGCCATCTTTCCAGACTCTGTTTGTTTGTTTGTTTTTGAGATGGAGTCTCCCCGTGTGATCCAGGCTGGCTTTGAACTCTTGATGTTCCTGTCACTGCCTCCCAAGTGCTGGGCTATGGTGTGTGTGTCACCACACACACGATGCCACTTTTCCCTCCCTTTTCTATGTGTGTACGTGTGTATGTGTGTATGTATGTATGTATGTATGTATGTATGTATGTATGTAGAGTGTTTTGTCTGCATGTTGAATGAAATGAGAACACGACCACTCCATGGTATGGTTGAGGAAAAGGTTTTTTTGTGGATATGAGAGAGAGTACATCCAGAGGCATCTGGAAGAGTCCAGACTGAACATGGCCAGCAGAATAGACCAGGCCATGAGAGGAGAGAGAAAGGGGGAGCATAAGAAAGGAAGAGAGAGAGGGGGCAGAGGAGGGGCAGGAGCCAAGAGAGAGAGAACAGCCAAGAGTGGCTGAAGTGGGGGGTTAGG